AGATCTATAGAAGCCATCTACTAATAGCACCTGTGCACTGTAAAATATATTTAAAACAAATAGCTATTATTCATATTTCAGTGTGCAGTTTTGAGTCCTGACAGAAATAATTGAAAGAAATTAACTTACCACCCATGTTGTCAATAATGAAATAACAGGTGCAACAATAAGTCAGAGTCACACGACTGCAAGAGCGTTTGTGAATATGTTTGTTGTATCTTCTCTGACTTCTCTGTCACTAGTTTACCTCTCTGACGTGTTTCACAATAGAGTCCAATAAAAAAGCATACTGAACATGTTTTCACGCACGTGCGGCATTTAGTCACGTTTTAGATTAAATGATTTGGTTATTGTGAAAACATAGAGAAACTTGTTGGACTGGTTTTCACTAAATGAATTTGCAGACCTTGTTATGAAGCTTAAAATCCATCAATGTGTGGGCCTCTGTCACCCTCAAAGGGAGGTAATAAATGTAATAAAATACTACTACTACTTTGACTACTACTATTACTTCTAGTACTACTAGTATTTCTACCACTACTACTTCTATTGCTACTTCTACTTCTTCTTCTTCTCCCATATGGAAAGCCCTTTCCATACCACCACGACTAATTCTACCACTACCACTACTTCTACTTCTACTTCTACTACTACTTCTACCATTACTACTTCTATTGCTACTACTACCAAGCACGGCACAACTGATCTCCACCTGAGCACAAGTATCCCCTCAAGACCTTGGAATGTGACTGGAGGTGCCAACTTCACTGTCTTTTTTTTTTCTCTCTTCATTTATCAATGTGATTTTTATTTTTTGTAATATTATTATATCCATTATTGTGTTTATGTAGAATTATACATTACACTTTTCATTTTTATATTATTTATTTCCTCCTTGTGTAATTTGCTCAGCCCTTCTTCTCTTTGTTATTTATCAGCCACAGACATACACACTAGTGCCCGTAGTAACCACCTATGGTATAGTAAAAACAACCAGTTTGCATATCAGCAGTGATGGCTAAATGAGGCCTCATGAACCACTGTCTTTATTTTCTGAAGCCACCAGATGGCGCTGTTTGTTCAACAACGGTTTGAAAGCACACTTCATTGCCAGTCCTTCAGCCTTTATCTTTAACCAAGAGCGCCATCTGGTGGGGTCAGAAAATAAAGAAAGTGGTTCATGAGGCTTCATTTCACCATCGCTACATATCAGTAATATCAAGAGTACTGTTATACCTGACTATATTTTGTTTGTTTGTTGTTTGTTTTTGTGTTGCCCTGTTTGTCCCATCTTGCCTATATTCCTGGCTTTATCTACCCCCTTGTGTGCAGTGCCTGTCATTACCTGGATTTTTTGATTATTTAGATTATCTAATTGGTTAATATGGTCAAATAGCATTATTCCAAGTATATCACTACTGACGGAAATTTTCACAATCACATTTGCCTTCCTAGTACAGAGCATTTCTTCATGAACATCATCCGTAATGAAACATAATGAGCAGCGGGTTGAAAATGAAAGAAGGGAAACATCTTGTGAACATATCTACAGGTTGATTAAATAATTCATCAACTGTTTGTCTGCTGCTTTTTAATGTGACAGAATCGTGTACCTGTTAATTTTTTACCATGATAAGTCTGTTTAATCTTGATGGCTTCATCAGTAGTTCAAGCACATTTCTGAGAAATTTTCCGAACAATTGTATCTGTCTGTCTGTGTCCCATATCTGTCTGCATCAAAGAAACCAGGAGTGCATGTTAACATACCAACCGCAGCCTAGGCTGCTAAAAAAAATACCCACATGCCTCTCTGTCTGTTGACAGATTTTGTCAGTGCGATAGTGTCACAATCATGCAAAATGCAGCTCAGAAACTTTACAAGTGTGCAATTGAGATCAAAATAAAGGATGAGGTTTAAGATGGATGTGGTCTTAGCAAAAGGGGGCAGATGTAGGGGGTAAAAAGTACAGGAAGCCCACAGGAACAACGCTCCACAACGCTTTTTTTTTTCCCCCAAAGTGAGGATTAGAATATATGCAGTTCACATAACCTGTTTGAAAATTAATATACACTAGTCCATACCCATTGGTAGCTTTGTCACCTTCTACCTATGCCAATCCTCAGTGCCTATGTGCAGTTTCACATAGATTGATCACATCAGTGAGTAGAAAAACGTGGGACAGACAGAATGACACACTGACAGTTTCCGTGATTATGTACAGCATACCATATCATGACTTAGTCATACCAAAAATTAGAAAACAACAACATTGGTCCACAGGGGGAGCCACAACGATCGGTCGCATTTTAGCCATTTTTAAGCATTCTTCTGTTGTTATAGCGCCACCCAGTTGCCAATTAGAGTTAAATTTCTCCAGTCATCTTGAGGCGTCCTGTTCTACATATCTACCAAGTTTAGTAAAAATCAATATGGCGATTAGGCCTAGATAAGAAATTAGCTCTCTAGCGCCCCCATTTTGTTTGATGGGGTCAATAATGGAGGGGTCCCCTCAGATTATGTGTGGTCATATGCCTACAAAGTTGCGTGGTGATGGGTGAAACCCTTGAGATGTTATACACCTTTATGTGATGAGCCATGCCCTCCGCAATATTCATTGCCTTATAGAAGCTCAGTTTTAGTAAGTTTTCAAACTTTTGCCAAGAGGGAACTTTAGATATTGGTCCCTAGATTATGTTCACCCAGTTTCATGCAGATCGCTCAAACTTCCTAGGAAGAGATCGATTTTAAGTGTTTTTCTAAAAATTCAAAATGGTGGAAAATCTATATAACCGGAAGTTATGGGTTCTTGATGCAAATTTGTTCCTCATGAGGAGAGGCATCTCTGTGCAAAGTTTCACGTCTCTACGACATACGGGGCATGAGATATGCCCATTCAAAGTTTGCAATTTCAATCGGTTGCTATAGCGCCCCCCTTTGGCCAACTGATGTAATATTGCTTCATTTGCATCCTCCCATGACCCTCTACCACTGTGCCAAATTTCACATGGATTGACCAAGTCAGTGAGGAGAAAAATGTGGAACAGAGACACACACACAAACACAGAGTTTTCGTCATTATATAGTAAGATATTGAACACTTGAAGAACCACTCATTACTAAAAGTGTATGTCATATAAAAACTAAAGTGATGGTCAAAGTTGTCACAGTGAAATTCAAGATGTGCTGATTGATTCACATCGTCAACTCATACATTGAGTAACATTACATGTTCCACCTTAAAAGTCATCAGCAGTCGGCCCAGTGAATTAAGTTGTTTTTTTCTCCAACTCCAGCTGCTGCAAGAGGCAGCAAAACATCCTTTGATTGTATAGTTACAGTTTACTAATAAAACTCTCCACAGTATGAACAGTGGTTACATGAGCCTCAAAACCAGCCACAACTCTATCTATTGACCAATCAACAGACTGCAGTGTTCACAGCTCCACCTTTTAGTACCAGATCTGTGTGCTAGGTACCCCAACAGAGGGGGGGCCAAAAATGGTATACCAAAAATTATGTATAAAGGGTCAAAGCTAGCCACAACAGGTTGTAAAATAATAATAATAACAGCACATACCACATGCCATCACATGCTTTAAAATAAAATATTTATTGGTTCACAAAAACTGTACTTGCTCAAGTTACATTCTTTGATGTTTGAATACTGATGCTTTGTTATCAGGACAAAATGACAGCTTTTTCAAACCCACATTAACAAAAGATTATGAGACAGATACGGAACAAATCTTTGACAGGTTGTCGTGAGAGTGCCCATTTTCTTGCACAAGATTCTTCCTCATCAGCAGCCAGAGTGCCGGTGTGTCTCAGATACAGTAAATACATTTCTTCTCCCTTCTGCTGTTCCAGTGTGTTGACTTGTTTGGATTTTAACAGCATTAACAGCCGACTTAGGTTTTGTTGTATCATCGTGAAAAATCCCACTTTTGTTAATGTAATACTTGTGTTGCACATTTAACACAGGCCCATTCACATTAGAGGTAAAATACTTTCATTGCAGATATCTGCAAACCAGTGGTGCCCCCAGAAATATTTCACAGGGGTGGCCAGATGGGGCCACTGAAAATCTTTGGGTGGCACACCAAAACCCAAATCCATGACTGAATTTAAGGAATTCGGTTATACTGGTGAAGTTTAAGGGCTTGTTGAAAGCTATGTCAATGTGGTGAGTTAAAGAATCGCTTACAAATACTTTGCTTTCTCATTTTACAGTTAATATTACTGTTATCTGATGTGCACAGACTAATACTGACACAGTAAACATTTTGAGTTCTGTAACCATTCTGTTTTAACGTGTCTGGGCCACACTGCCCGCGTGAGCAGTGCTGGTCTGCTGTGGAACACTTAGAGATTTGGAGTTTTCCCTACTTTTTTCTGCATGACGTGCGCGGTTTTTAGCAAAAACAGATAGCCACCCTTCACTACAGTTTCAATTTATATATCAGTCATAATCATGAAAAATTGCTTTATTTATTTTTAACTAAACCTTTCCTAACACTGTTTCAAAATAAAAGCCCTCTGACAATGTGTCTGTGGACAGAATCCAAATCTTTTTACTGTGAAACATTTGCAGGGCTGTGTTGTTGACAAAGCAGTAGCTTCCACAGCTCTATAAATTTGTGGAATACTGGCTTTTAATTGTGAAAATTAAGTACTGCCCCGCAGCAGCAACGCTGTCTGTGTAAACACTACAAGCAAGGTAGATGTCATCGCTGCTCACGCGGGCAGTGTGGCCTGAGCAATAAGTGTTTCTTCAAAACAGGCTGGTTGTCCTTTTCTTTTAAAAGAAAAAATATACAGCTTTAATTCAAAGGAGTCCACTGACTGTAAAGAACAAAACATTGACTTGTAACAAACCTTCTGAAGTTTAAAAATACCACGCAGAGGCCTCCAAATGTTTTTGTGATAAGTGGAGGCGCCACTGCTGCAAACGTGTACATATAGACACACTCTTAGTGAGTTTGGGATTTTTTTCCTTGTATCAACATAACATTTTACAATTAAACACAAAAAAGGGAAGAGATGTGTATTTTTTGTCAGAAATTCAACAGCAGCTACAATTTACTGCAAAGCTACTCAAGCTCTTAGCATCTTTATTTCTGTCCTTTGTCACTCAGTGTGTCTCCCTCCTTCTTCTCTGTTCCTCTCAGGCACTGACAAACACCAGTCTGGCAGTGTAGGCCAGGTCAGCGAGGTAAAGCAGGAAGTTGAGGGCAGTGAGCACTGCCACAGCGATCAGTTTTGACGACACTTGGCCTCCATACTGGTACTTTCTGTCAAACTGGAATATGGGCCAGATGATGGTAGCTGTAAGGTACATGATAACAGCCAGGAGCCCGTAAGCTGACAGGAACTTGGAGAAGGGGATGGGGAGATAGCCGGTGCACTCGCCCACACACAGCACTACCACAGCCATGGAGAGGATGAAGCAGATGCAGTACACGGCCATGCACCACTTCAGAGCCGGATGGTGATCATATGACACAGGGTTGCTGACCAGGATGAAGATAATACAGGCCACAAAGGTCTGGCACACCTTCATCAGGCCTGGAGCTGTAGCCATGTAACCCGCCACTTCTCCTGGCCTCGCTTTCGTAAGGCTCACCTCCACCATGTAGGTCACCGCTGCCAGGCAGGAGAAGACAGTGGCGGCGATGTTATAGTCGCGAGTATCCTTGGAGATCCGCTGCTGGTCCTTAAGGAAAAAAAGTGGGAAGATGACAGAGGCAGAGAGGCAGAGCAGGGCGGCGTAGCAGGCAACTGTGATGGGGAAATTGGACCAAGACACTGGGGCTCGGGCCTGGAGGCCACACTGCTCCACCAGCAGGACCAGCAGGGTGCAGGTGAAGCTGAACGCCCAGCAGAAGATGCACCAGTCAGCCATACCTCCATGAGAGGCTCCGTGTGCTGCGACACTGAACGCCACGCAAGTGAACACCAGGGCGGCTACACGCACCCATAGAAGCTGGGAGGTGGGAAACACAATCAGTGGCATGATGGGATATCACAATCACTCAGGTGTTGAAAGTGGCCTCTGTAGTCTAGTGAGGGTAAATGTGAGATGTTGTATTGGCTGCTTGTCACACACTCTGTCGATGTTTTTCACATATTCTGAAAGACAATAAAAAAAGAGAATAATCAGAATAAATTAAAGCAGAAGTTTGGTGAGAAGATGATGTGATTTTGAAATATGTAGATGTAGAAAAAAACATTCTTTATTGGTATCACGTATTTTGCTTAAAGGGACAGTTCACCCCCAAATCAAAAATACATACTTTTGCCTCTTAAATCTATTGGTACTATTAATCTAGACTGTTTTGGTGTGAGGTGCAGAGTGTTTGAGAAGTCTGCCTTGGAGATGTCCGCCTTCTCTCAAATATAATGGAACTAGATGGCACTCTGTTTGTGGTGCTCAAAGCGCCCACAAAAATACAACTTAAAGACTCAACAGCAATGTCTCTTTACAGAAATCATGACCTGGTTACTCAAGATAATCCAAAGACCTTGTTGTGAGCAGTTTCAGGGTACGACTTATTGCCACACCCGCCGTCTATATTACCGTGCAGAAGGAGGCGTGCATCTACTCATGGGCAGAGAGGTTCATGCTCGTGACAGCGCGAGATGTAAACATTAGTGGAGTCCTGCTTGGCTGAGCTGAAACATTAGCAAGCTCAGTGGTGCTAGGTGAGTAGCAGATTCTTTCTGTGCATTGATACGGTTGGCGGGTATAATTCGATAGGAAGAAGATAGTTCTACATGAAACTGCCTTACAACAAGGTCTTTGGATTATTTTGAGTAACCGGGTCATAATTTCTGGACACTGATGTTGAGTTTTTCAAATGTATATTTTTAATGCGTCGAGCACCACAAGCTGAGTGACATCTAGTTCTATTATTCTGGAGAGAAGGCAGACATATATTGTCACGATATTGTCAACACTTGGCAACTCACACCAAAACAATCTTGATCGATAAATAGCACTACAGGTAAGAGGAAAAATATGTTTTTGATTTTGAGGTGAACTGTCCCTTTAATGTTAGCAACAGGTAATGATGGCCAAATGAAGCCTCATGAACCACTTTCTTTATTTTCTGACCCCACCAGATTGGTTGGTTTAAAGATAAAGGCTGAAGGACTTGCAATGAAGTGAGCTTTCAAACCTTTGTTGAACAGACAGCGCCATCTGGTGGCTTCAGAAAATAAAGACAGTGGTTCATGAGGCCTCATTAGCCATCACTAGCAACAGGCATGTTTGTCTATCGGCTAATCAGAGCCTAATGTATTGGGGAAGTGGTCTTCTTAATGACTATAAAAAATAATGATGTCAAATGGTGAGAAACTGCAACATCTGAGCTGCTAATTTCATTAGCAATAACCTGATCATCCCTGACTGACGTGTCCAGGCTCACACTTACATTGTGTAAAAGACTGACTAATGTTTGAGGAACCTGCTCAAGCTGTGACCTGTGCAGGGCAAGAAGTGGAAGTTTGTGTGCTTAAATGTGAAGGAGTTGGAAAGTCCCTCAGTCCAAAACGTAAGTGCACGTTCCACTAAACAGTGTGATGTTGGTGCCCTCTAGTGTCCAAAAGGTTGTTGGTTTTAGTGAAGGCTTTTTGCCTCAGAGAGCTATACACTTTGTTAAAGATGCAACCCCATCTACATCCCTGGAACAGGTATAATTTAATGCAATCAAGATCTCTTTTGCAAGAAAGAACAGCAGATTTAGAAAATAACAGCCAATTAGAAAAGGATGCACAAAATAAATGATGCACCGGATGTAACGAGATGAGATATTTTTAAAGTGATCTGTAATTCATGCCATTTGTAGATGCAAAGTAATAGAAGGCAGTCTTCCCAAGTTCAGTATTAGATTTAAGAAGGCCCATGTTCTGTTTTTGCTGAGCAGTGGCTTAAAATTCAAGAAGCCATATGCTGTAGCAGCTTTAGCAGGAGACAGTACAGAATTAAGTTCTCTTTTTGTTTCCAATAAGGACCAGTTGGCTTTTTCATATAATGCACAGTGATGAGGATGATATTCTCCTGCACCAATAAACTGTATCAGGTTGCTTTAAGGTAGAGTGAGCAGCATGAGGATAAAGAATGTCATCATAGTCATGCACAGACATGATGGTTGACTGTATAATTATTTTCCCATCGTCACAATGGAAACATGATTTGTTCCGACATAAGAAACCCATTTCTGTCTTAAGCTTCTGTGCCAGTTGCATGTGTTACTTAAACATGAATTCCCAAGTGTTTCTAAGATAAGGTGAGATAAGGAAAAACTTTGCCTGGGTAAAAAAAGAAAAAAAAAAGAAAAAAGGTGTTGAAACCTCACGAGGAGCAACAAGGGAGGGGTCCTTCCTCCATTTCCACAGTTTAATGCACTTAACTTTGGGAGGAGGAGGGACTGGCTTTTTCTTATGGAGCCAGGAAGCTGCCAGAATTAAAAATAAATAAATTAACCCTTTCAACTCTTCAACAGAAATTGTTTATCAGTGCATACACCGGTATTTTTTGCTTATTGTGATGTAATTTCCTGGAGTATCTTAAAATGCCTCATCTCCTCTAAAATCTGCACAACCTTGATCTAGCTCTGACAGACAGATAGAGCGAGTTACGGCACTTGAGGATTATGGCTGCCGGCATATCGACACAACACCACTCTATCCAGTTAAAACAATCCTCACAACTTGTATTAATTTTTATGAAAAACCCTTTTGATTCTTTTCATCTGAGGACCCTTACGGACTAAGGAATATGAATAACTCACAGGGTAATCAAGGTATGGAAACATAACTTGAGGTAGCCAACAACCTGGTTTTATATGTCCAAAGAAATAAAAATGAACTGCTTGGTAACCAGACCCAGCCTCTAATTGAGACAGGCCTGTATTTGTCAAAATGTGTAGCCACACCAGGCTAGTAAAAGGGACTGGGCGTTAAATTGGGACTAGACTTTTAATTGATGTTTGAAGTGTTTTTGAGATACGCTCATTTTCATGAGCAGATTCCAAAGGGTTGTTGTAATAGATTAATCATTTATTCCTCTGGCGCCACCGCACATTTTCTCACGGTTTTGCACCACCCACAAGTAGCGTAATGATGTCATCAAGGGCGTACAAGATGGTGAAATGGAAGAAAGAGGCCTTAGCTTTCTGCTGCAAAAACAATACATGTTTTGGCCATTATGGTTCTTATTTTGGATTAATATATACAGGATTATGCAAACAAGAATCTCCTGTGGCCATTACAGGGAAATGCCAGCAGAATTACTGGAATATACCACGTTTGCACCACATTTAAGGTAAGGTAAGGTAAGGTAAGGTAATGGCATGATGATGGGAAAGACAGAAGCCTGAGCTTTCTAATGCAAAATGAATGAATGCTCTATCTATTATGGCTCTTAATTTAGATTGAATTAAAGTGTCATGCAAACAGCTATGTCCCCCAGCTGTCCACGCAACACATTGTCACTCTGACCTCGTCACACATCGACGTTTGGTCATGGACTGTCCACGTCCAGATACGACATGAAAGGTACCTTGGGTGCGTTAGCTGTTGACGTTTTCGGACACAGTGTCAAGTTCTGCCTGTCACATGCATTGTCTTCTTTCAAAATTCACTTTCGTTTTCACAGGAAATGTAACACTTAAATACAGTCTCTTTCAAAATAAACACACCTTCAACAACAAACAAACGTGGTTGGGTTTAGGCAACAAAAACACGTGGTTAGGTTTTGGAAATAAGAACAGAGATTGGCTTTAGAATCTTACGGGACACGAACACCGCTCTGTCAGGTGAAAGTCAGTATTTGCCCGCCCTAGTCAGCCTTAACTTTCGTCCTTGTCCCACCACGTCTCCTTCTGACGCCGCCAGGTAGTGATGGCTAAATGAGGCCTCATGAACCACTGTCTTTATTTTTTGAAGCCACCAGATGGTGCTGACTGTTCAACAAAGGTTTGAAAGCACACTTCATTGCCAGTCCTTCAGCCTTTACCTTTAAACCAAGAGCGCCATCTGGTGGGGTCAGAAAATAAAGAAACTGTTTCATGAGGCTTCATTTGGCCATCACTACCACTAGGTGTTGTAAAACTATAACAGCAACTGGCCGTGTGTGTTGCCAATGTTACAGGATGCCTTTTGTCATTGGTTTCTGACGCCTCAGGTCACTGCCCAAACGCCGGATTTTGGCGACTTCAGAGTGAGACCAGGCTCCAACATGGGACATCTGTTTTTAAAAGGCTACTATGCCATTAAATATAGCAAAAATAATTTTAAAAATGAATGTGGGTATCAATTAATTGATCAAATGTGACATAAAACATAATTTAATTTGCTTTATTTATTTACCTTAACATTAATTTATTTACTTTCCTATTTAGTTTTCAATTTTATTTTTTTAAATTCATTTTTAAATACATGTGTTTATGTGTTTATTTACTTTGGCAGCTTTTGACCTCCATATATTCTTACACATGGCACCAATTATGTTTGCATTCACAGAATATATTGAAGGAGGCAATGCATGTTTTGTCACAGGGGCTGCACAGCAATGCCAGATGTTGTCCAAACATGCAGAATTATGATGAGCATGTCTGGTGCTTGACAAACTGATAATACTCTGGTGTGCTTTCGATGCAAATGCTATGACTACAGATCATTCAACTTTTAACACAGCCTCGAAAAGCCACACGTGCCACTCTACAGGTCATGGAGGAAAGCATGCTCCGTCATTCTGCTAATGCAAACCTTGAATATTGTCTTTAAGACATTAACTCCAGAGCCGCACTTCCTGTTTTGTGTAATGACTCTCATACAAAGGAAGCAGCTCTGATGAGCTAATAGCACGTCTGCAGGAACCCACACAGGCAACACAAGCCAAATGAGCATTTAATCTCTTTAGCAATCCAGCCTGGAGTTAGAGTTAGACATGCAGCTCTTTCAGATCTCAGTTGTTAATACAAAAAAAGCTCCTCTTTAACACAAGCTTCAATCCATATCTGGTGAAAACTGTGAGTTCAAACATACTTGGTTACCTAGTTTCATTACTGAGAAAGATGTTGGTTATTAACTGGGTTAAAAGAGAAACAACATTCTGAGAAACATGTGGTTACTGTGTGTGGTGTGTGTGGCCTGATGCCCCGCTGCTGACAGGAAACCAGACCTTGGTTTGCTTTTTTAGTAAAATAGTATCATGCATGCTTGAGTTCTTCACATAGCCTAAACCATCCTGAGAGCTACTGTATATCACTGTAGAGATTAAATGTTAGTTAATAATTACCACTGCTTTGAGATAAAGGGATGTGACCAGCTTCTTAAAACTAACACTGAAATGCATTGTCATATCGTCTTTTAGGAGAATCCATGCTCCAAGCAGACACAGCAGCCTTACAGTAAAACCAGATGAGATACACTTAGTTTTAAGGGTAAAATCGGCTTACTTTAACTGAGATATTAAGTGAGTGATGAGGAGGTTTTCCGTCCCAAATAGCGGACATACCGCGCCCAGCGCTGTGCCGTTGCAATCAGCTCTTTCTCACTGTTCCAAAAATAGACCATGATAACAAAAAAAACGCTGCTAACTTCTATACAAACTCTGACAAAAGGAAAAACACAAGTCTGAAATGGATCTTACCGATTTCTTGGCTCGGAGTTTCATTTTTTGTTGTTGTTGTTTTTTTTGTCTTAAGCTTAAAGTTCCTGTTACAGCATGCGTACTTGGAGACGCATTCCCTGCTCTCATCCACCAATGCCTCACAGCACAGTGTATCCCACGCCCCGCGCTGGCCATATTTGGTAAAGTGTTGAAACCCTCTGCAAGCCTCAATAAGGTCATCGCAATTCCTCTTCCCAAGTGTTTTGGATTGGGTAGCATATATATATATATATATATATATATATATATATATATATATATAGCTACATATACCCTTGAGACTGTCAAACTCCCATCACTCTGGACGCACGAATACAAATTGTATCATTGAAAGATCTGTGATTTGGCGTCCCCACACATCTGCGTGTGCTTGTGCCTCAGTGAGTAAATGAGTTCACAAGATGTGTTAATAATTCCAGTAAAAATCTCACATCTTTTTCTTAGGCCAAGGTTGTAGCCATGGATACTAACTGTTTTTTCTTTTGAACCCTGACCCTGTTTGAGTTTTATTTTATTGTAATGTTCTCAGTGCTATAACAGAAAATGCACCCATATACTCATAACACTCCCCTGGGTGCTCTCAGTGTCATCTAGAACACCTTTTTCCAGTTCACTTTCAATGGAGGGCCAGATTTTATACACTATGACATCACAAATTTGAGTTTTAGCACTCTAGTTTTTGGTTTTTAAGAGAGAGTTGTTCATGTCACTCGAATATTTTTGGACTGTCTTAGATCATAGGAATAACCAGTGATGGCCAAATGAGGCCTCGTGAACCACTGTCTTTATTTTCTGAAGCCACCAGATGGCACTGTCTGTTCAACAAAGGTTTGAAAGCACGCCTCATTGCTAGTGATGGCCAAATGAAGTATCATGAACCAGTTTTTTTATTTTTTGACCCCACCAGATGGCGCTCTTGGTTTAAAGATAAAGGCTGAAGGACTTGCAATGAAGTGTGCTTTCAAACCTTTGTTGAACAGACAGCGCCATCTGGTGGCTTCAGAAAATAAAGACAGTGGCTCATGAGGCCTCATTTGGCCATCACTACTCATTGTAAGTCCTTCAGCCTTTATCTTTAAACCAAGAGCGCCAACTGGTGGGGTCAGAAAATAAAGACAGTGGTTCATGAGGCTTCATTTGGCCATCACTAGGAATAACTTGTGTGAACTGTGAAAGTGTATTTGGTAATAGTCTATGTATTTCATATATCTGCCTCACTCCCATTAGACAAAAGGCTTTAGGCTATGTGATATAATATTTGATGTATAACATATACTGGATTTACTGGAGGCCGTTAGTAGTGATGGCCAAATGAAGCCTCATGAACCATTTTCTTTATTTTCTGACCCCACCAGATGGCACTCTTGGTTTAAAGATAAAGGCTGAAGGACTTGCAATGAAGTGTGCTTTCAAACCTTTGTTGAACAGACAGTGCCATCTGGTGGCTTCAGAAAATAAAGACAGTGGTTCATGAGGCCTCATTTGGCCATCACTAGTAGTTAGCCTTCATATAGTTTATATATTGGAAATTATTGCCATATCTGGTAACATTTAAAAACACAAATAAAATAAAGTTGAATGTTTTCCTTTCCTCTTCATACAGCATGCAGCCTTTCTTAAAATAATTTTACAAGACAGATGTGTTTACTTTGTATATTGCATGTACTTATAAGATATTCTCCTCCCTATGCCAGTTTATCCTCCTGAGACCCAGTGTCCTCATTTAAGGACTTAACATTTGGGGTTTTCTGGACCTTCTACTTCATTCTGCTTAATTTAGACCTGTTGTCCTTGTTTGTGGACACTTTTTGTGCCATCTAGTGGTAGTAAGAGCACAATACACTAATCCGTGTAAAAACAAGATGGCAGCCATCTCTGCTAAGTCAGTCTGCAGCTGATCCCGACACATAAATGAGATGATAACAAAGTCCCAATGTCCTCAAACAAGACGATAAAAAAGTCTCAGAGTCCTCAAACAGACAATAATAAAGTCTTGATGTCTTTCAAAAAGCTGATGATGCATTCCAAAAGTCTTTAAACAAGTATTTTCTAATTAACAGCGTCTTAGCTTGTTACTGTTGCTAAAATTGGTCAAATTTGTTGCCGTATCATCTGCAAACATTATTGATCATGAATAAACAACTTTCAACCATAAAATGTGATCAGGTTTTGGACCTTGTCAATTTGGGGACATTGGGACTTTATTATCATCTCATTTGAGGACAATGGGTCTTTACTATCGTCTGAGGACATTGTGGCTTTATTATTGTCTTGTTTAAGTACATTAAGACTTTTTTTTAATCATCTGGTTTGAGGACATGGGGCGTCCATTATCATCTCGTTCTTGGACAATGAGACTTTTTTATTGTCTCGTTTGAGGTAACTGGGACTTAATTATCGTCTCAATTTAGGACATTGAGACTTTATTGTCATCTCGTTTGAGAACATTGAGACTTTATTATTGTCTCTTTTCAGGTAAATGGGACTTTTTTATCTTCTCGTTTGGGGACACTGAGACATTATTATCATCTCATTTGAAGACATTGGGACTTTATTATCATCTCATTTGAAGACACTGAGACTTAACTACCGTCTCATTTCAGGACATTTTGACTTTGCTATCATCTGAGGACATTGTGGCTTTATTATTGTCTTGTTTGAGTACACTCAGACTTTTTTATCATTTGGTTTGAGGACATGGGGACTCTATTATCATCTTGTTCTAGGACAATGAGACTTTATTATTGTCTCGTTTGAGGTAACTGGGACTTAATTATCGTCTCACTTTAGGACATTGAGACTTTATTGTCATCTCGTTTGAAGACATAGAGACTTTACTATTGTCTCATTCCAGGACATTTAGACTTTATTATTGTCTTGTTTGAGGACACCGAGAATTTATTATCATCTGATGACATTGGGACTTTATTATCATCTCATATGAGGATATTGAGACTTTATTATTGTCTCTTTTGAGGTAATTGGGACTTTATTATGTTCTCGTTTGACGACACTGGGACTTTGTTGTCTCGTTTGATGACATTGGGACTTAATTATCATCTCATTTGAAGACAAAGAGACTTTACTATTGTCTATTTTCAGGGCATTTGGACTTTATTACCATCTCGTTTTAGGACGCTTAGACTTTATTATCATCTCATTTGAAGACACTGGGACTTTACTATTGTCTGAGGACATTAGGACTTTATTATCATCTTGTTTGAGGACACTGAGACTTTATCATCATCTCATTTTGGGACATTGGGACTTTATTGTCATCTCATTTGAAGACACTGGGACTTTACTATCGTCTGAGGACATTAGGACTTTATTATCATCTTGTTTGAGGACACTGAGACTTTATTATCATCTCATTTGGGGACATTAGAACGTTATTCTCATCTCGTTTGAAGACATCGGCCCTTTATTGTCGGTGACATTTTTTTTATATACTTATCAGGTCCTACTGATCCCATACAGCTAGAAGAAATTAAAAATGCATACCAAAGAAAAGTTTGGGTTTCAGGAGGTTGATGTAGCGTCCATGGCTCCGAGCACGTCATCAACGTCGAGATTGCGGTGGAGTGAACTGGCTGCAGTGCCACAGTCCATCCACACGGGGGCGCTGCTGCACTCTGTTTGCACGTATGATCTTTGAGGACATGGTGGTGGATCAGCAGCCAGTCAAGGCAGCAGGACAACAACACAGCACAGATCTCTATTTCAAGAACTGGGATCTTTTTTTGAAGGCAATACATATCTGCAACGACAACTTCTGAGTTCTCAGGCATACCACGAGAGAGAGATTCGGATTTTACCACTGTGACTTGTTTTGGAGAAGAAGAAAAAAGACCTGAGGTGGAGCTGCATTGGAATCGCATTGCCTTCTTAACGTTAGCCAGCTGGCTAACATGCAGCTTTAGTGTTTGAATTTGCACGAAAACAAGACTCTGGGATATATCGAGCTGGGATTTGCGTGGACTGCCACTATCTCGACCACTTTAACATCCAACTACTCGCATGCAGTTAAAGTCATGCTGGCGTTTCACCTCGCAGACATAGCCGGTTAGCTAGCTACCCCCAAAGGACCGACTCGTTGGCGCAGCTGCAAGCGGAACCCACGGCGCTTTTGGTCGGCTTGAGGACCAACGCCATGCCGCGGGTTGAAACCGGCCCATCCCTAGAGCTAACTTCAGGAAGCTAACGCTAGCTGGATACAGCAGGCCGCTTCAGATGGTCGTTATCATTCCCAAGTCGGCTAATTAGATAAGTCAAAACTCAGACTCTTGAAGCACCTTTACCTTTCATTCTGCACGGTGCTTTCATTTTTTATACGCCCAGCAGCACACGTAGCTAATGCCGGGTCATCTGCTAATTAGCTAGCTAGTTCGTTAGCGAGTAATGTAAAGCCAACGGTAGCTTATCGGTTAGTTGTTGTTTACAGTGTGCTAGCATGCAAATTACAAGTTACAGTTAGTTTGGAAGCTAAGCTGGAGTGGTAACTAACTTTTTTCCCACTTATTAAATTAAGGTACGTTTGTTGTGTGTGTGGAGTAATTTGCATTAACTAGCCACATACATGTCAGTACAGCTAATGTCAAATTCACTGTGGGCATTCGTGTTTGATTTTAGCATTATCCAGGCTACCATATGACAGAGATGCGCGGCATTAAAGGTTAGCTTGGATGGGATTATTTAGGTTGGCACAGCCACACATGTAAACGAGTCTGTGTGCACGGTTTTGGTTAGTTATTTCATTGCAAGGTGTCACTACGTGTCAATCAAGAGTATGTGCTGTTATCTGTACGTCAGTTGTGCGTTTTAAAGCTGTTACTTTGAACATATGTGCCACCAATTATCTTCACACAGACACTGAAAGGCATGGGAGTCTGTGACCTCCTGGAGCATAGCGAGACATATCAGCCATTCATTCATGATTGATGACCTTTGAGGAAGCAGACTGTCCTTTATCCATTTTCCACTACTGCTGCTGAACACTGCACCAAGCCACTAATAGCCTGTCTCGTAGTATTTATTTTTAACCACTAATGTAGCAGCGAGGAGGGATTTTTTTAGTGTTAGTTTTAGCAGTTTAAGGTCCCACTGGCGTGGATGGGAACATGAGGAGCTCCCTGTCTGATCTGAACCAGCTTCCCAGTAGCTTGAAGGTCTGATCAAAGCACAACAGAGAGCCCCATTGTGTGGACTGAGAGCTGAAGAGGAAAGAGACGATGATGGGGTTGATGATAAAAGAGGCCCAGTGACAGCGTTGATCTCCCCGCACCAGGAAGCAGAGGAGTGTCACAAAGGCTGCAGACATGAGTCTCCGCCAACCCACCTCAACGCTGGACAGGTACGCGACATGACACCCGCTGCACCCAGGCAGTTTCTGTGGTTAAGGATGCATCTCAACGCCTTGCTTAGAAATGTAGTGCTCCCAGATCAGCCTATTGACACGTCTTTGTGTGACTGAGGTCCAGTCTGGCCTCTGGAAAAACTAGTTGGACAGGCTGTTTGCTGGGAGGTGATAAAACTACTCCTAGGAACAAAGAAATTACTGTATGCATGACAATAGTAGAAGCCGTGGAATTCATGCTAAAACAAACAGCATTTGATCCTGAAACAATTCGCAAATGCCAACATTTTATTTTTTTTGTATGCTGTTAATAGAGTTTGTTGACGGAACCATAACAGCGGAACTCAATAACAAGAGCACAGTGCAGCGACCGGACGACATACAGCGCGCACACGCTTGAATTATCTTGTAGTTCAGCTCTAAGAAAAGCAAGAGTTTAGCCGTTTTTTGGGGTTTTATAGCTTAATAATGTTGCGTGGCACAAACGAGGGAAATGTACTTGTTTATTAGCTTTACTAAACTCAAAGTGCACATAGAAACAACAGCATTTATTCAGTGAATCAGATACAGACGACTGTAACATCCTTCCTCATTAATTCACATATTTCCAATTAAATAAGTTGCATGCTCACACTTTTTTTTTTCCTGTCACTATTTTCCTGTCAGGTCAGAAAGTGACCTTCATCACGACCAGTTAGTCGAGCTGCAAAGACCAATCAGTTTGTTGTCAGCCATTAACCGCCAGCTAATGTGATAATCGATTAATCATTTGAAGTAATTAAAAATAAAACAACAAAATATTCTCTGAGCCCAGCTTCTTAAATGTGAGTATTTCCTGGTTTCTTTCAAAGAAAATGTAAAAGAAAGAAAGGTCATGACGACAGTGACAGCATTCACGGTGCCAGACTTTGGTGTCACGTCTTTCGAAGCCAATGAAGCGGGCGCTGCAAATCACACTGTAACCCATCATATCTGTACTGTTTCACCTTTGACTGAAAAATCCTTCCACCAAATTAAAATTCACACATTACTTGATGTCAGTTGACATTTTGTATCGAAATATGTGCATTTGTGTCTCTTGTTATTGGTCTCCAAACTATCCATCAGCTGCATATAACTCAACTCGAGCCCCTGTTGGGTCCAAGATCGCTAGCCTACCTGCTGTTAGCGGGTAGTACTGTCGGCTATATGTATTGTAGGGCTGCAACTAACGGTTATTTTCATTGTCGACTAATCTGTCGATTATTTCTTTGATTAGTCGACTGATCATTTTATCGAAAAATGTGTTAAAATGTTGAAAAATGTCGGTCTGTCTCTCCCAAACCCCAAAATGATGTCATCTAATGTCTTGTTTCATACTCACGCCAAAGTGTTAGTTCACCGTCATGGGAGAGTGTGTAAGCTAACAAGCTGCAATAAGAGTATTTTGGGGTACTTTCATAGTACTTTTCTATGAAAAATGACTCAAACAGATTAGTCGATTACTAAAATAGTCACCGATTATTTCAATAGTCAATTAGTCGACTAATCGTTGCAGCCCTAATGCGTTTGATTATCAAAAACTAACCAAACTTCAAACTGTTAATCATAGTTAATAATATTCAGGAAAGCTAACGTCAGATGATGTTTCCCATTACTGTCAGGAGGTGAAGCCAATCTTTCTTGTTTATCAATGAACTAAAGCTGCATTTGCACTTTGTTTAGCTAACTATAGCCAGCAGCAACGTCTCTATTGAGTCACCCTACACTTATTTGAACCGTAAATGATCGTAAGCGATAATCCTGGTGAAGGTGTGAAAGAAACAGACAGGGAGCTCCACTGTTAGTGAGTGATAGCAAATGTTACAGCCTCTCAAACTTAACCGTTGTAATGACTGAAATGTGTGCTAGCTAATTAACGTTAGATGGCTAATATTACTATAAATGTAAATCACTGAGGCAAGCTACAAGGCATTATGGCATGCGGTCAAGTTCTAGTTTGGTAAATATTTACCTAGCTGACAGATCATATCATTAAATCCAGCTGGAATAATAATCAGAGCCATTAATAAGTTGATCTGGTTATAATTGCAGTCTGGTCAGCAATAACAGGTTGGACCTGTTTGTTTATGTATTATGATGTAATGTTTGCTATCTTTGCGCAAACAGGGATTGAGATGCAGCTGTAGGACAGAGACATGATCTGTTTGGAGACAATAATAAGGAAAAATAATGTACATGATTAGTTAAAAAACATCAGTTAGCATCACCTATTGTGTGTTTTTTAATCTGTAGTGTGCTTTGCTGTGCCCACTCCGTTGACTTCAAAGTGCGGCTCCTCAAACACTGTCACTGACCTTTCCTTCTTTTATATTTTCCTTTGTTTCTTTACTTCTCTATGACAGTGAACAGAAAATCTTTGTGTTGTGGACAAAACAAGACACTTAAGGGCGTCGTCTTGGGCTTTGGGAAACACTGATTGGCATTTTCCGACATTTTATAGATCAAACAGCTGATTGATAGTTGAGAAAATAATTGACAGAATAATCACTTAGCTAATCAAGAAAACAGTGGACAGTGAAAATAATTGTCACGTGCAGCCCTACCAGTTAGCTTAACTCAGAGTTTTGTTTCACATTGCAATTCAGTCATGGAAAAGCAGCATTTATTTTCTGTAGCCGTCGATGTAACATAGCTCTAAAATGCGTCAGTGTGTAAAGTTTTGCTCACCATCACGTATGTTTACTTATTTTTCCCCTGTGCTCCGTCTATCCCTCTGTGTATGCCAGCTAGTTGGAATCACATTTGAATAGAGTTTGAATTTGATATGTTTGAATAATGCTGGGCAAGAAACAAAATGTTGTGACAGTGGGATTGAACATGTAGGGTCATGAATCTTGAAGCTACTTTTAAATGCGCTGCATTTTGGGGATGGAGCAGTTGACATCTTCCCGGGTTTTCAATCATCGCTCGTTGTGCCAGTGCACGTGATGATTTTGTTTTAACTGCTCTGAAAGTGGAGCATGGGTGCTTGAAGGTTCGGAGCATTTTTTTTCTACCTCTGTGTAACTTCATCCTGTTTGTTACAGTCAGTCATCACCACTCACCATGTAGCCTCGCACTGTGTTGCTGTGATCGTCCGGTAGATGCATCTTTGTCTTGATCATGTGTCTCTCCTGTCTCTCCTGCTGTCGACTTCTCTTCCCTGTGTGTGTTCTTGTGCACGTGCCTACCACTGTGTCTGTGTGTGTCACGTGACAGCAGGGCAGCCAATAAGAAAAACGCCCACCCGTTCAGGTAGGACAGCTGTCCAGTGACAGCTCACGTCAGGGGTTGGGGTCAATGACACCTACAGATTGTACAACTGTGGCAGCAGATTTCTCAGTGGCTTGTTATTTCAGGGCTCTTGGGCTTGATGTAGCAATGTAGGCAAACAGGCACTTACAGAAGGAAGAAAATATATGTATAAAAGGCATGTCATGCATTTAAAATGTATCATAGTTCAATGATTGTTGTTGCAGTTGTTGACAGTTGTTGGTTTGATGTATTGAGATTTGATAACTGGCTACATCTAATGATCCTTTTCATGATCAATAATACCTCCATTAATATGTAGATTAAAGGGGAACTAAGCCCATTTTCAGAATTCATATGTGTTATTCCCATGGTCTAAGACTGTCCAAAAATATTAGTAAACACAAACAATTTTCTCCCAAATCCAAAAACTAGAGTGCCAAAATTCAAATTTGTGATGTCACAAGGTACAAAATCTGGAGCTGCTCTATAGATGATGGAGAGGGATCGATGTGCTAGATGACACTCAGTACGTTTACATGCACGCAGTAGTCGAGCTAAGCCCATAGTAAGGCTGTGCAGTTATTCGTCTGGTGATTGCGATTTTGAGGTCAAACGATTTCAAAATTAATTAAATCGAGTGTAAACAATTTTTGGACACGGATGCCTGGAGATGTTGTTATATTGACTTCTACGAAAGCCGCGCATGCGCAATACCGCCCCTCCCCTCCTCTCCTCTATTCACTCCACGAGCCAGTCAAGTAGGTGAACTATGAATAATGCGAGGGGCAGGTAATCGTGGAAGATTTCAAAAACAGCGTGCGGAAAATGGCAGAGGGAGAGCAAGAGAGGTCGTGTAAACAATATAAGTCATCACGTGCACCGCATAATCGTGATTTCAATTTTGACCAAAATAATCATGATTATGATTTTTTCCATAATCGAGCAGCCCTAGCTCATAGCTTGGCTAATCAGTCAAGTCGGACTTCTTGTCTTGTCTGAGTATACATGCAGAAGAGATAATCGAATTTCTGACCAAGTACGTCTGACTACGCCTTGATAGGCGGCGCTGTGTCCTTTTTAATGTAGTGCGTATTGAACTAGTGTGTGACGTAAACAGTGACGTGGGAGGGAAGCCGCGGCTGGTCAGTCCTTCAGCAACTCTCTCGTAAGTTGGCGCTTTCTTCACCGTCCCCGTCATCTGATGGTTAATGGCCTCTTCGTTTGCGAGGGCAAGGAGGGAGCGCAATTCCTTGTCTCCCCAGTTGCTCATCTTTACAGTGTCTGTCAGGTTTGCGTTTCCCTCTTGCTACTAGCTGCTCGCTAATTCCTGCTATCAGCTGTTTCCTGTTTATCCACCGCCAGTGGGTCGCACGTGCGGCGTCATCAACAGCCCCTCCCACAAGTCATCAACAGCCCCTCCCGTGGTGGAAGGGCGCCCCATTCTTTTTAACACTAAAAGGGTTCCGCCAATATGTCTACCCTACGAGGCGGAATATTGGGCACCTCGGATCAACTCGCCAGTCCAGCTCTGTGTGTCTAAACGCTTGCAGCTTGCCTGCAAAATGGCCCAACATTCGCGGAAAATCTGGCAGTATAAAAGGAGCTAGAGTTTAAGTGAGGGTCTGCGTTAGTCCCCAGGGGTCATGGAGGTGCGCTTACCGTCCTCCTCTGGCCAAAATCGGGTGAAACTGAAGCTAAGAAGACACCCCTGGGACTGGAGGGAGTGTTTGTCAAATATCCAACCTAAAACTAAATTCATTATGGTGCGGCAGCTTCAGCTGGCTTGAACATAGTATTTTGGACTTGACTTAAAGAGACTGGAGCGCTTGCAGTTTGCACAGTCACAAAAAATTGGCTGCATGCAGACATAGGCATAGAGGTCTGTGCGTGCCCTTACAGCATGAATTGATGATGACTAGGGTTGAAACAGTAGGAGTACGATAAACATCTCGAAGAGTATTGTGGTTTCACGATATGACAGTATCCATATTATGATTATCATCAGTTACAATGAAAGGAATGAAAAGAGAAGCTTTTTTGGCCAAACAAACATTTTATTGCTAGAATTGAATTTTGAAACTTTTTAAATAACTTAAACTATATAAAGTAAATATAAAGAAAATAACTTGTATAAAGGTGAGATTCCTCACCTGGTTGCATTTTTTCCCCAATACCATAGATCAGCAAATGTACACGATATGATAACCGCCAGTTTTCATACCACAGTATAGCGCTGCGACCCTAATGAATAATGAATAATGAAATTTACGTGGAATCTATGAATATGCCTTCATGTCTTTGGTTTCTGGCTTTGAGAGAGTGTAGCTCATGTTCACAAATATTGACTGAACTTTACCAGGCCATGAAATGACATATTGGTTTCCCAGAATCTGAGGCAAAGTCTTTCATATTGCCCGTTTTGCTGTCCATAAAGTCCACACCCCAAAAGAAGTACAACTCCTCACATTCGAGAAGCTAGAAGCAGTGAGTGTTTGACCATTGACATGAGAGGTTAGGCGAGTATTTGTTGGCTCAGTACCTCTAGACCTTAGTAAATCACACCACATCTATCTGCACATCTATTCTTTGGAATAATACCAAATCACTTCAGTGTTTACACTCGGCGTGTCCTTGCATCATACACCCTTAAATAAATATATTCCTGGAAGTCGAGGCTGCTCTCAGTATTTACAATCTGTAAGAGTATAAAGGGCGTTGGGATGATTTGAACTCTTGGTCAGTTTCTCTGTGTCCGTTTACTTCAGGATTGGTCTTCATGTTGAATTTCTTTTCTCTGTCTCTTTTCCCCTCTATCTGTCATTTCCTTCTTTTCTGTCATGCTTCGCTTTCAGCCCTTTTGCTGCTTGGTGAGTTTTCCCTTCGACTGCTCTCTTGTTGCCTCTAATGCTATTCATATTCTCGCCCTCTTTACCCCACATATCTGACCATGCGCATCCCTTGAATCCTCTCCCCTCTTGTTGCTCTGTGCTCCCCTCTTTCTCTTTGGTTTGGTTCGTCACTTTTTGTTCATCTCGATTCTTTCTCTCGTCATTTATCCCTCTCCCCCTCTCCCAGTCCAACCAGCCCCACCAGAGCATTTTCTAAATCACCCTGTTTGGTATTGTTTCACGCTAAGCGTCTCTTTGTCTCATCTCTCACCAAACCCAGGCTCAGCAGTCTGACCATCGGGGACTCGGAGCGCAAATCCTCTGCTACCCAGCAGAGGGAGCCAACAGTCGACTTCCCTGCTGAGAGTACGGGTAATTACAATTTCCTACGTTGATTTATGCTTTAGTTTCAGGATCAGTTTAGAAATTCACTGAAGTTCATGTCTGCCAGACATCCTTAACATCGCTCTGTCGTCCTCCTCAAGGCACTGGTCTTGTCCAGAGATGTGTGGTCGTGCAGAAGGACCAGCTCGGCTTCGGCTTCACAGTATGTGGAGAGAGAGTCAAGCTAGTGCAGAATGTCCGACCAGGTAAGACGCGTGCACAGTCGATGTGTTTATGTTATTACAATGCCTCTTCTGTTATTTGACACATGGATGCTCCAGCCAACTGCCATAAAAGGATGTTTTTCCTCATATACTGAAACTAGGGCTGCACAATTATTCAAATGTTAATCTCACTAAAGGGTGGGTGATATGGCCCTAAAATAATATTCACTCATTTACTCTTATTTCTTTAGTTTGTGAACAACAACAGTAACTCAGAGTGAGATTCAGATTCTGTATACAATATTAATAGTTCAACAAAATAAAATCTGTCACAAATTACACATTTAAACAGCTCCCAGAAAATAAAGTAAGTGGTTCATTAGGCTTCATTTGGCTATCACTAGTGACAGGCTGTTATGATACCAGAACTATCGCACATTCACATATATTTAGTTATTTGTCGAGCCATGAGCTTCACATAGGTTTACATAACTAAAGGTTTATAACAAAATCACTTGACAACACCAAATCCCGTGTGTGCATGACGAGAGAGGAGAGGGAGAGACGCTGTGCTGCTGCCAGAGGAACTGCTGACTGAGTTCCCTCTGAGCGGTAAGTCACTGAAAGAGTCAGAGAAGTCCGGGGCTGTTCATAAAACATTTAGGACGCCACAGTTTATTCCACACTACTGAAGCTGCTCCTTTTTTTGGAACCACCGTGGAGTCTGTGATAATTTCGCTTCCAGCCATGCTTGTTGTTGCTATGGGTAACGGTATAACGTCAATGTCAACAAGTCGAAACATCGCGAGTATCACAATATGAACTTTTTCACATGATATCAAGAAAGAAAAAAGATTCCCGCACACTGTTGCCAAACTTGCAAAATATTTAATGGGACAAGGCAGCTACGTTTCGGTCATTACAACCTTCGTCAGGCAGATATCACATGATATCAAAAATTATACCCCGTATTACCGTGAACAAGATGATATGGCACACCCTCATTCTCAATCACAATTTCAGCTAAATGAAAATGATCAACTGCAGTGTGGACGTTTAAAAATGGTACTCCGCTCATAGAAAATACTGCTGCCTATCAAATCAAGCGCTTCCTAAACTAACAGCCATGGCAGCCATAATGCCGCTGAACATGCACACTACAGCGGCAGCCATTGAAAAGCTTTCCTGAATGTTGCAGCTGCAGTCCAGGGTAGAAGAGTAATATACAACAGTCCACAGAGAATATTTTTGAAAATGTAATATGACCTAGATGACAAGGTCGATGATGAATTTGTTATTTGTAGTAGCATGAGCTTCTACGTGAGCTTCACTGTGTGCCTGGACTCATCTTTACAGGTGGTGCAGCAGTCAAGGCCGGGGTCCAAGAAGGGGACCGAATCATAAAGGTTTTTACTACTTTCCACCACAGTGCGCTAGATCTGACAGTTAATGGTTTCTTTTTGGTTTTAGTTTTGATTTTCCTCATTTCCCGTCTGTCTCCTTCTCTCAGGTGAACGGCTCGCTGGTATCCTCCATGTCCCATCAGGAGGTGGTAAAGCTTATCAAATGTGAGTTTAAAATAAGTGTAATTGTTGTGCATGCATGCTGCAAAAAATGCATGTTGGTATGTTTCTGTTCTTTTGTTTGTGTGGATCTGATTTATTTATTTATTTACTTCGCCACAGCTGGAACATATGTAGCTCTGACACTACAAGGGCCACCTCCTTCTGCCGCCTCCCTGCCCCTAGAGCCCCTCCCCACTGACCTCACACCCAATCAAAGAACTTCGCTGGGTGGGGAGGCCCCACCCCCTCCACCTCCACCCCTGCCCTCTGGACTGAGCAGCACCCCATCCCAAAGAATCACTGGACCCAAACCACTGCAGGTGAATGACATCATATTAAGGGTGGATGACGTTTCCTAGCTGCTATCATCTTGCATCTGCTAAATCAAACAAATGTCAAGCTTTAACATTTACAGTATGTAGCAAAGAAATAGTGATATATGTCATCAAAATGATTTGCACATTCTGCTGTTAATGTGTTTTTTAGGACCCAGAAGTACAGAAACATGCCACTCAGATACTCAGGAAAATGCTGGAGCAGGAAGAGGCGGAACTGCAGGTACACACAAACAAATAAGCTGTCCCGCTTCAGTTCTGATCCCTGACTACACCCTCCTGTAAATGCAAATAAAGTAGAGAATTTCCATGTAAGGATCAATTATGTCTCACATTATTTTATACTGGAGTGTTCTGTGTAACCCCTTGTTGCATCGTGCTATGTGCACAATCAGATACAAACACAAGGGTTTTTACAAGGTGCTTGAAGTACTTGAATTTGGCTCAAAAGTTTAAGTACTGAGTATTTAAATCATTCCTTTATTAGCTTGGTCCTTGAAAAAAGTAAGTGAATAAAATTAAGAGAACACATGAATTATTTTATGAAATGTATTAGAAAAATGTTTGAAACTAAGAAGCTGAGAATGTGCGTGCTTGCAATTATTTTCTGATGCTGTGGCATGAGATCGGAGCACCAACGAGCTGGTAAACATCAGTAAACAGTCAGCGCTAGGATGTTTTGCAAGCCTGCAAGACATTGCCACCGGAGCAGAATTAGCCGATAGTTCGAGTTGTGCAGCAGACCTAACAGCTGTCCCTGCAGGACTCCACCCAGATCCGGACTGTCTAGAGAAGGTTTAGGATTTGTCTGCTGTTTGACAGGCAGGTTCAAGGCTCAGTTATCTGTGAAGGTAGCTGTGCTGTAAGTAAACAGTCTTAACTCAGCTGAGTTTCCTCTGACGGGGCTGGAAGAGGAGGTGAGAGGACGTGAGCTGAAACCTCCAGACTAATGTTGCAGGTTTAGAAAGAATTCAGGCTGAAATAAAGATATTTCTCTGCTATTTGACAGTGAGATCGGCAGCTGAGGAAAAAACAGTTTCATCCTTGAAAGTGAAGTGCTTGAAAAAGTACTTCAAAGTCCTTGAATTTGACTTGGTCCTGTCTGTGCGAACCCTGAATGACGACCTGCTATTGATAATCAATTTACAGGAGCTGATGGAGGAGCAGTTGAGGAACCCGTCGTCGTCACTGGGGGAACGGATAGAAAGTGCCAAGAGGAGAGCTCACCAAGTCAGGGTCAAGATTCAGCAAGATCTGGTGAGGAGACGTCATTCATCTGTCCTTTTTTAACGGTCTCTCTATATTCACTGTTACATAGTTAACCTTTTCTCATACCAGCATAGGAATTTTGATTTACAGAAATGTTTTAGAGAATTACGTACCTGGCCACTTGATGATGAAATACTTACAAAAATAAAAGCACATTCAAATTCACTGGTCAAATCATGTCACCATAAAAAGCACGTTAAATTTAAGACAACGTGGTGTTAAGGCTCATTGATAGAAATGTACGAAATTCGTACAAAAGTAGATACGTCCGTTTCAAACGTTGTAAATGTCACTGCCCTTATACTTCCTTGGCCTTCGTGATGGCATAGATACAGCCAATAGATGGAGCTAGAAAGCACAAAAGTGTCCTCTCAAAAATTTCAGACAACAACAAACAAGGCAACAGTGGAGGCAGCGTTGTAGACCGTAGTGGTCTCTGAGGTCATTAAATACATCCAGACATGTGGACGAAGAATTCGTTTCACTGTTATTACAGATTCGCTCTGTTCTGACATTATTTACATGTCTTTGTCGTCTCCTACAGTCGAATCTCACTTGAACTACGCTACACTGGTTTCATGATCTCTGGTTTTATTGCTCCATTTCGTCTGTATCTGTAAGCTTTCAGAAAACGTGCACAAATACAGATGAAATGAATGCAGAGTACGGACAGGGGCCCCGACTGTTTCCATCTCTGCATCTCCGCATCGAGCATAGATGAATCTTCTTCTTCTGAACCTTGCAATGAAGTGTGCTTTTAAACCTTTGTTGAACAGACAGCGCCATCTGCTGGCTCCAGAAAATAAAGACTGGTTCATGAGGCCTCATTTGGCCATCACTAGCAGGCAGCAAGCAACTGTACTAACTCCATAAACAGTGCTAAACAACAGTAACAGTGCTGACAGAGCTAATGGTGTTAACCGGCGAGAACTGGAGGATGGGCACTATGCCTCTGTGATGGTGCTGTCCCGATATCAGTGGTAACAGCCATTTGAGCGCAATGAAAAGTGGCAGCGATGAGCTAGCCGGTGGGATACACACATGCACTAACATGCAGGGGACCGAATGTCGCACATAGCTCCTTCGATGTATTTGTTCACTGTAACTGCAACCAATGTCAAATTTGAGTGTAGATGTTGGCAGAGGGTTTTAAAATGGAATCTATATGTCAGTGTTGTGTTTACTGCCTGTTCTGCGGCCCCTGATTGGCCCATTTAAATAATTCAAAACAGCTTAATTTAACATGAATTAATTAAATTATGCTTGGTTGTGCTTCTCCAGGAGGGAACACGATCAGAATGTGCCACGAGCTACGTCATAGCAGGAGAAGGTCTGTATCTCTTTATCTGTTACCCATTTAATTAAATATCTTGGTCAGCGTTGCCAGATTGGAAATGTTTAACTATGATGCCAGCAGTGTTGCCAACTCATTTCCAATTCATTCATTCATTTTCTGTAACTGCTTATCCCGTTGGGGGTCGCAGGGGTTCTAGAGCCTATCCCAGCTGACACTGGGCGAGAGGCAGGGTGCACCCTGGACAGATCACCAGACTATCACAGGGCTGACACATAGAGACAGACAACCATTCACACTCACATTCACACCTATGGACAATTTAGAGTCATCAGTTAACCTGCATGTCTTTGGACTGTGAGAGGAAACCGGAGCACCTGGAGAAAACCCACGCTAACACGGGGAGAGCATGTGAGCTCCGCAGAAGGGCTCCCCTACCCTTGGTACAAACCAGAAACCCTCTTGCTGTGAGGCAACAATGCTAACCACTGCATCATCGTGATGCCACTTATCCAATGAAAGTAGCTAATACTAGCTCCAGAAGTCGCCAAATGATGTCATGTGCTTATTTGCATATTGGTTATATCATCGTTCATGTATTTGGAAGTATTTTACAACTTTGCTGAATTACATTCAATACAAAAAACTTAAACATTTAAATGCAATGTCTCCTCTCATCCTGCCTGCCCAGCACCTACCGATAGATGAGGAGAGACTCAATGCTGTTGGCAGGTGGAACACTAGGGTCTAGGTACCATGTCTGAAGGGTTACTTCTGGTTCCAAAGGTACCATACGGAAAGTGTTTTGTGGAAACGGGGCTTTAGAGTCGTCCATCTGCGATCGGATTACCAAAGACACATGTTAATACCAGGTGTACACAGGGCCTAAGTGGTTTCATAAGTGGTTTCAAACTGCTCTGTGCTTTGGCAGGTCGACTATCAATGGATTCAAGCGAAGGAGACAATGAGGTAGGCCGCTCAGTCTTTTCATCAAATGGTGAGATTGTACGTGTGCATTTGTGTATGTGATGGTCCCACTCATCCCGTCCCCCTCGTCCTCCCCTCCTCCTCCTCCTCCTCCTCCTCCTCCTCCTCCTCCTCACCAGGCCTTTGAGAGTCCCCACTCCTCCCCCTCATCCTCCTTCAGGACACCACACCACCGACGGCAGAACTCCGACACACACACCCTGTCTGATTCGGTGAGATGGACACACACACACACACACTTGCATTCACTCTGAGACGTCAACACTTCAAGATCCTGACATGCAGCACAAGCTTCCTTCTGTTAGGGAGGGTTATACACATAAAATACACAAAGTACTTCCTAGATGTTGTTGTGAGTCAGTAACTGCAGATGTGACAACTGTCCACATGTTGCCTTCATTTGAAGTCCATTATGAGACACAGCCTGCATCACCAGCTGCATATTTGTGTTGCACCCTTCACGGTGCCTTTCTGAACCTCCAGGACAAAGATTAATCTCCTACTTTGAGACGTGGCTCTGTTCTTTCCTTTTCACCTGCTCCTCTCCATTTCTGTCACTGTGACTTACGTAGCTGTTAAAAATGTATGAGACGAGTGGCGAGACTGAGAGGATAAATGATCACCGCAACCTTCAGTTCACATTTCACATCATCCGACTCTTTTTGCACTGAGCACCGCATGCACAGTCTATCAATGAAATAGTGTGCTTGGAACTGCTGTCATTGTCCTCCAGTGTGTGACTGAGTGCTTTCCATTTCTTGCAATCTGTGTGTGTGCGTCTGTGTTCAAAGGGCGGAAAGGCCCAGATCATCGGCCCCGAGGAAGAAGATGAAGAAGATGATGGCTATGCATTTAATGAGGTGAGGAGGATATTTGGTGTGACTCTAATCCAGGGGTTGCCAACGTGGTGCGCCAGCAGGGAGCCAATGAGGCGCTCACAGGGCACGTTGTAAAACTAACTGTGGTCACGCCAGCAGTCACTCGCAAATCAGCTGATGCTATAGTGCACCCATGTACTGACATTTATACTTCATGCATTCTAGCGGCACTGATCACAAATGGAGCTTAGGGTATTGCTAGCGAGGTTTTTCATGGGTCCATGAACTTTTTTTCCCTCTCAGCAGCAGTTAATGAAGTTTTGACTTGCAGAGTCAATAAGTGATCAGTCGATCCAATTAGAGCTGATCAGATTAGTTCCATGGATGAGAAGGGCATGCAACAAATGGCTGATGTTCTGCTGCTCCGTCTGTGTCCGGAATACACTCTGTGCTCCGAGAGTATGGAGCAATGAATGAGCAATGGCGACGGATGTTTTAATTGTGGTGGGCCGCCACAAATAAATTAATGTGTGGGAGACCCTGGGTGTTCCAAATTAGAAATCCCATACATTTCTGGATGATTGACATCTGTAAAAACCAATCAGGAGCTTCCAGATGTTTCCGTTAAAAACATCAAGAAAGGAGTTTAGAGACTTGAACATCAGACTCTTGTGTATTCCAACCTTATGTAATATGGAACAAAAATGTTACAAATGTGATATCGTCTGACTTTCAAATGTTGAAACAAACGAATTATTGAGATGAACAGAGAAATCTTGAACATGCGCATTTAAATATATGAGTTGTTAACTATGATTACTTATTTAAACATTGATAATGATGATTATGAGGAATTTCTAACAGTAATCGATGAACACAGACAACCGTTTCCTAATGTATGTAGCCTTTAAAATACATAACCTTCATTATTTAACGGTAACCAGAGCAAATTTGAATTATTGGGAAGATGAAATCAGATGAAACATCTAGCCCCCCACATTACTCTCTACCCTTCAGGTGGTCTCACAAAGGTTGGTGATCCCTGCTTAAGTTGATTTGTGTTGATATGATTTACAGTTTTCTTATACCCCATCTACATTTTCATGCTTTTCCTTTGCGGCATGTTGCTGTTCTCTTAATTTACAGAATCACTCATATTTTTATTCATCTTTCTTTCAGATGGACGGTCCATTTCAGGACATTGAGTTGTTGAAGACCCGACCGGCACACATGGCGGTTTTCATGAGATATGTCTTCACCCAGCTTCTGGACCCCAACCCTCTGGTCAGTCTACATAAGACTTTATGTTAAATTTGAACAAATTTCATGGAACAAAGGAGGGCTGGGAGACGTATCGATGTTATGTCAATATTGTGATATTAGACATTAGTAGCATTAGTAGTCAACCCCATAATATCATTGCAACATTGTTAGTAACGAGGTATTTGGTCAAACATATCGTAATATTTAATTGTCTCCATATTGCCCAGCTCTTATTTTTGGCATTGCCATGTGTATATCTGGGTTTTCTTGCTTACATCTATGGGTATGTGTGTCTACAGCTGTTTTACCTGTCAGTGGAGGCCTACCTGGGCTCCAGCCCTAAAGATGCCCGTGCACTTGCACCTCAGATCTGCTCCCATTACCTGGACCCAGATGCTGTATGTACCAACGAGTATTAATGATTTTAT